GCATGTCCGTGTTCTCACACACCGTGCACACACGTCCACCCCCCCACACCCACACACCCACACCTACCCACCCCCACACAGGGCCGTCTGCACGAGGACTCTACGCTGCAGCTCTGGAAACGGCTCCTGGCTGGGGACTCAGGAGCTCCTTGGGGCCAGTGCCACGTGTGCAGGAGCCGGGAGGGCGGCTCGGGAGACCGCGGGGGTCCACCCCTCCACGCCCAGTTAGGGTCGAGTCCTCGAGGCGCCCAAGTGGCTCACGCTTGGTCCCCTCCTCCCACGCCCTCGCAGGCGTGTGATCACCCAGGGCAGGACTCCAGCAGCCACTGGGGCCAGCCTTCCAGGAAGGGCACGGGCAAGTCGTCGGGCCGACCTCGGCCTCCCAGCCATGTCCCACTTCACCACGGATTCCGCCAGAAAGCACCTCGAAGATTCCGCTTCTCCCTGACACAAATAATAAGCCCTCCAGAAATCTCTGCAAGGAGGGCCTGCCTGGGAGGACACAGAAGAAACTGCTAAACGTGTCGCCTCGGGAGTGGAGATGGGGAAAGGTGACTTTCTTTCCCCTGGAAATCCTTTCACGCCTGCCATGTGCATTTATTACCTTTTAAAAAACATACATATCGAAAAAGGCATCTTTGCATAGCCTTCTTAAGCCTCCAGGTGTTTACACCCAGGCATAGCCTGCCAAGTGATAACCCGCCCTTGTCCAGCCTCCTTCCTTCCTGGGTCACCCCGGGCTGCACGTTTCTCTTTCGGATGGTAACTAGCTGCTTTTGAAGTTTTTATTCCCACCCTTGGGGGGCGAGGTGGGGGGGGGGAAATGCATGATTAAAAACGAAGCTGAACAATGGGTTCAAAGTTTCTTTTGGGAATGATGAAAATGTCCTAAAATAGCTTATGGTGATGGTTGCACAACTGAAAAAATATTCTAAAAACCATTGACTTGTACACTTTAACGGGTGAGCTTTATGGTATGTACATCTCAAAAAAAAAAAAAAAAAAAAGGCAGTAGCAGCTGAAACCCCCAAGAGTGTGTATCTAGATTCTTGGCCAAAAGTTTGGAAAGTATCTTTGCGACACAATAATGTTTCTGCGATGAACGTGTTCCTGATACGCCCAAAGGTGTGCCACGAGGAGGGCGCAAGTGTGGTGAGAAAGCCAGCGGGGGAGTTCAGACACCGATAAGCAGGAAAGCCGGCAAGTCAGGACTAGTGCCCTGGGCCCTGCCGAAAGCTGTTTCTAACTCAGTGAGATTGAGCCAAGTTAATAAAGACATGTGAGATATTTTCCTTTTATTTCTGTTTTCACTTTTTTCTTTCAGACCTTGTGAGTTTAATTCATCCAACTCGAGTTCACAGCCAAGTGACATCGTCAGTGTAGCACCCCTCTCTAGTTTTATTCTATTTTTTCCTCCCTTTACTGTCTATTCCCACTTCCATTCCTCCCCCTAGTCATGACACACCTCTGTTTAAAAACCCTTCCTTGACCCACAGGACATTTAGTACACACCTACATTTTCCAGCTCTCAGGTTATTGGGACCTGTATAACTGATTAAAACGGAAGAAATGGGCATGTACCACAAATTAGTTTTTACAGGGTACTGTATGAGGTAGCGCATCCTGTAGTGGCATGTGTCCCAACAACCTGCACCAGAGTCCACAGGAACATATGTGTTCCAGAGTCCAATAGGACATATGCATCCCACCAATTCTCCCCTCCCGAGTCCAGAGGGACATATGCATCCCAGCAGTCCTACCCCCAGAGTCCACAGGGACACACTCAATGATTCAGCATGCATTCCATTAATGAAAAAAATTTTTATCAACAAAAAAATTTAAACCAAAAAAATAATTCAGTCATGAGAGGGTTTTAATACACTTTTGTAGCTCTGCATTTATTCTTGAAATATACCGTTATGAAGATATGCACGCATTTTAAATTTATACACTTATTTTTCCTTGCTTGACATTGTTTTCAACATCTATCCGTTGCAGCTGTATACAAATATCAGAAATGAACTAGCCATCCAATCTGAGTTACCCTTCTGTAAATTGGCTATCCAATCCTTGTTTCTATTGAGCTTGTCATTTTCTTGTTGATTTCAGGAGTTTCTTGTATTATAGATAACTCCTTGTGGGTTTAAGTGTTGCAAATATTTTACCTTAGCCTGCCGCCCTTTCCTAAGATGAGCAAAACTTATTTTTTATGCCCAAATCCATCAATTAAAATTTTTTTCTATATGGGAATAATTTCAAACTTACAGAAGTTGAAAGAGTAAAAGTTTACAAAGAACTTTTATCCAGATCCTTTACCCACATTCACCTATTGTTAGCATTTTACCCCATTTGCTTTGTCATTTGCACTCATTTATATCTATTTTTTATTTTCAACCGTTTGAAAGTTGCATACATACGCATGGCCCTTTACCCCTACATACTTCAGTGTGTATTTCCTAAGAATAACAATATTCTCTTACAAAACCACACCAGTTATCAACTTCAGTAAATTTTACATGGATACAATAATTTTATCTAATTGAGTCTTAGTATTCCAATGTTGTCAATTAACCCAATAATTTCCTTTATGGCACCTTTACCCCCTCCAGAACAGGATCCAGCCTAGGATCAGGTATTCCATTTAGTTGCCGTATTTCTCAAGTCTCCATAGCCTTTTTTAGGAAATTAACACTTCTGAAGAATACTTTTGTCTGAGGTCTCCTCATCATGAGATTCAGGTTACGCATTCTCAGCGCGAATGCTGCACAGGTGAGGTTGTGTCCTTCTCAGAGTATCCCATCTGGAGGCCTATGTCCACCTGCCCTTCATCAGTGATTTTTTTTTTTTTTTTGACAACCCAGTGAAGGTGTTGTCCAACTTCTCCATTGTAGTAACTGATTTTCTCTTACAACTGATAGGCAGTCTTTGGGAAGGCACTTTAATGCCCTGCAAATATCCTACTCATCAAAACTCCCGTTGACGACTCTTGCCTAATCGTTTCCATGATGGTTACAAAATAAAATCAATTTTACAGCTTATGCTTTAGAGGTCTTGTTTAATGTATACTTCCCTACCACCGAGATAGTCTATTTTTCCCTCATTAGCTTAGATTTACCTTTATTGTCAAGCAACTTATCTGTATAAGGTGTGAATTTTTTCTCTGTACTTCTCCTAGCACCATTAAAACAATCCATCGTTTTCTCAATGTTTGAAGTCACTTTCATCATATACAAACCCCCATATATTCATGGGTTTGATTCTGAGCTCTCTATTCTGATCTTTTTGTCTATTACTGCATCTGTGTCTTATTATGACTATGGCTTGTGGTGTAACTTATTATGATGGAGTTCCCATTTGTTCTTTTTCTAATTCCCCCCAACCCTGCCAAAATCCTATTGGGATTTTAACTGGAATTATATAGGTCAGAGGCTAACTTGGGAGAATTGACATTTTTGTAATGTTATGTGATACCACCCATAAATAGTGTCTTTTTCCTTAAGCCTTTTTTAAAAAATGACATTCAAATAACAGTTTCCTGGGTTTTCGTTAGGTTCAATTCCTAAATGTTAGACTTTGCGTAGTATCTTAAAATCGGTTATATTTTCTATTTGGTCAGTTAAGTCTAGTGCAGCAGTTCTGAAATGTTTTGGTGTCAAACCCCTTTACAGCAGGCATCGGTAAACTATGGTCCGTGGGCCTATTTTTGTTAAAAGTTTTATTGAAATATAGCCACGCTTTACTTGCTTGTGTGTTGTCTATGGCTAATTTTGTGCTACGACAGCAGAAATGAGTAGTTGTAACAGGGATCATATAACCTCCAAAGTCTGAAACATTTACTATCTGGTCCTTTGCACAAAAAGTTTGCCAGCCCCCGCTTACACTTAAAAATAATTGAGGATGCCAAAGTTTTTGTATCCACTAATGGTGGTGGATGCAAGTTTTCCAGAACTCTAATTTTTAGTTGAAAACTAATTTATCATGGGCAACAAATAGCATCAGTTATCATCCTTGGAATGACAAGTTCACTTGTGGTTTACATCTATCAATATTGACCATATTAAAAATGAAAACTGAGAAATATTTTTAAAATATTTATTAATTCAATAGACCCAATGTGTAAACATAAATAACATATTTTTAATGAAAAATAACTATATTTTCCAAAACATTTATCGAGTGGCATTATTTGACATTTTTGCAAATCTCTTTACTATGTGGCGGAATAGAAGAGTCTCCTATGTGCTTTTGTATTCAGCACATTACGTTGAGGTTAAAGCAAATGAAAATCTGGCCTCACAGAGTTATGTAGTTGAAACAGGGAGGAGTATTTTGACAGTCTTTTCACAATTGTGTATGTCTTTGATACTACACCCAATCTTGACAAGTGGTAATTCCTTAAAAGTTAGCTACGATGTGGAATCTAAAACCAAATCAATGAACTTTTGGTACTATTATAATCCGTTGGTCTATGTTGAACTTTGAATGGATTTTGTAACATCATGCATTGTTCATTTGGAAAATTCTGGTTGACCTAGCTATGAAGTTCTTACAAACATTGACACATTTTATTCTACAACATTAAAAGGTCACATTCAGAAGTATCATCACTGATCTCTTCAGGAAAATCATTCTATTATGATGCTGTCAAGCTAATGGTAGTGGATACTAGTTTTCTAAAAAGCTCAAATTTTATCATCAGCCAACAAATATTGTCTTCCTTGAAAGTGACAGGCTCATTTTCTTCGTTTTTGAGAAAATGTTAACCATAAACCCATGTTTTTATAACCAGTTTGTCCGTTGTCCTTAGAAGTAAAATCGTGTTCCATGAAAAAAAAGCAGCCAGTTCAGCTCTCAACTCAAACAACCACACAAGTACTTCTCCTTGAGACAACCAGTACTTTGGTCTGCAGTGGAAATCTTTCCATTCTGTCACACAAAATATTTAAAAACATGTATAGCCAAGGGTTGGGATTAATACTTTTAACTGCTCCATCAGGGACATTCTTAAGTTAAACTTTTTTTTTTTTTTTTTTTTGTTAAACTGAATTGTTTCTGTTTGCTTTCAGTAGATAACCTTTATCAAGTTAAGAAAATTCCTTCTGTTCCTAGACTTTTAAAGATTTAAAAAAAGAAATCCACAAAACCCAGGTCATCCTATACCTGACAGCCCAGTGGGTTAAATCAGCAATGGGAATTTTTTTACTCAGATTTTGTTTCCACGCTTTGATCTACCACTATAAGGTTGTGAATGGAAAAGATGAATTGGAACACAAAAGACTGGCCTTTTAAAGTTACCAAGTTGGCCAGATGTATAAATATCTATTATCTACTTCACCTATACATCTCTGCATAATATGATAAAACCTGCAAAAGCCAGAACCTGTGTAAGGCCCAAGTTTGAGAAGGAAAACTCAAATATTTCCACAAAAATAAGTGATAGAAAAGTGGTAAGACTGCACTCTGTCAAAAGTGGAAAACTTATGAGACCTGGAAAAAACAAGGCAGTCCCGTCGAGTTCTGGCTCTCAAGGGTTTCTCTGTATAAGGTGTCCTGGGTGTGATTTTGGCAATGTGAGGTCATTTCTGACAACTGGATTCACCATTAGAAAATGTTTTCTCCAGCACAGGTTTGTGGCCAAGTTCACTCACCCAGAAAATGCAACCCCATACTTGGAGTATGAAATGGGTTCATTCGAACAACCAAACACAAAAATAAAACACAGATAAAGCACATATTTTCCTCATGTATCAGAATTAAGCCTTAAAAAAAAAAAAAATTATATTTTCAGAAAAGAATCACCACTAATAAAAGTTTAGTTTCTAAAAATATTATAAACAGTTTGAAAAGAAACCTCTAAATTAGTCAGTGATAATTAGCTGTCATGGATCTGTAATAAAAGGATGTAAAAGAACTTATTAAAGACTTAAGAATGAAATATGACCAGAGCTATCAATAACTATAAACTTTCTCTAAGAGGAGCTGGTATTTTGCAAAGTACCCTCAAGCAACTTAGAGATCTTCTATCTGGAAGTTAATCTTATGTTAAATGAAATGAAGTTGGCGGCAATTATTTTAAATATTGTGTTAACATGGATATACAAATATATATCCTACATGTTCTTTCTATTACAGGAATCAAAGACTGAGTAAAAGAAATGCCAAATATAGAATATAAAAGATGTGCACATTCTCTATTACATAGTCCTAAGCAGCAAGTGCTGCCCTACGTGCATTACACGTGGGGCTTATTGAATCCCCCCTCCAATTTTTTTAGGCTGCTTCTATTCTCCTCAACCCCATCTTACACGGGAGGAGCCTGAAGCTGAGACAAGTTGAAGGTCCTGTGGTCACCTGCCAGTAGAGGACAGAGTGGGGGTTAAGGTACAGGCCACCTGACTCCAGGGCCCATGGTCTTCACCTCTCCATCACACTGCCTCTTAATTACCTCGCAGCTGGCGGGGAAGAGAAGGCAAAGTCCAATACACTATCCAAATTCCTCAGTTCATTCTATACCTGATAGTCTAGTGTCTTATCAAATTTGTAATAAGACTTAATTCAGATTCTGTTCTTTTCTGAATAGGAAGCAAAAAGCATAGATAAAATGAATGATGGTTAAAAGTAAATCAAAAACACAAAGTCGTGGGAGTTATTGCTTTAAGGGGTACCGAGTTTCTGTTGCAGGGAAAAGAAACACTTCTGGAAATGAATAGTGGTGATGGTTACACATGGTGAATGTAACGCCACTGAACTGTACACTTAAAAACGGTTAAAAGGGCAGAAAAGAAAAAAAGAAAAAAAAAAAAAACACGACACAAAGTGGTGTGCAATAGTTCATGGGACCCCAAACAGCATAAATGAAACTTACCCTTACCAAGCAGGATAAACATCTCATGCCAATACAAATCTTTTAATCTTTATGACAGGTAACATAAACAACCCCACTTTTACTAGGATACTGTCAAGCCACAGTTAATGGTGGATGTCATTAAATCTGTATGCAATACAAATATCAGTTATAAATCTAGCTAGGTATTTTATTTTATTGAAAACATGCTTTTACCTATTAGAGTTGCTCTGAAGTCAATACTGACGTTTTCTACCTATCAGAGATGTTACTAAACATCATATAGTATTTACACAACAGAGAGATTAAACTACCAATCACAAGGAGTTTTGTAAGCATCTAGATTTATAGCCATGATTCCACAGATGTGGTGAGGAAAACCAATGGCCATTCCTTAATAAAATACAGGATTTTACATCATGCATAGTTTACAGGCTCAAGAGATGGTCTCTTCAGAGGCTGGATGTTCAAGAAAGATTCAACAAACATCTGAATGTTGGTAGGTCGTTTTACAACAAATGCTTACTTAGTTTGGTTATTTAGCCACCTCAGTAATACAACATTTTTATACTCTAACTGGAAGTAGAATAAACACTGCATGAAAAATGCAACCCTATCAAATTCATTAGTAATTAACTATTACACACTCTTAGTATTAAGTATCATTATTGGATTTCTTTCATTTTATTTTCTTTCTGGGCACAGCTTATGTCATTGTATTATAGGAATCAAAGAATATCACACACACAAAAAAACCTTTTCTTGAAGACCACTTCCACTCTGTAGTTGAAATATCCAATCAATGAAACTGTACAGTTTCCATATGAAATATAAGTTAGTAAAATAACTCCTCCGAGTAGTGTTGCATAGAAGCTACAACTATGTCCTAACTATAATTAATCATCACAATTTGAGATCTTCCAGGATATAATAGTACTAGACTGGGCTGTAACTACCTAGCAAGGGAAAAAAATTAAAAAAAAAAAAAAAAAAAAAAAAAACCCACCAGCAAACACACAAATTGCGGTCATAGCTATAATTTGTAGACTTGAGACAAACCATGTTTGTTAGAGGAGGTAAGTAGAAAAACGAATGTTTAGTTGCACTGTCCCTCCCATGACCTGTATCACGTGTGCAGATCACACATTCTTAGGAAAATAATGCGGAAGGACATGTACTATACATTCAGCACAACACTTTTATGTACAGAAGCCTAAATATCTCAGGAGGTTGATTCTGATAAAGACAATCATTCAGTCCACTCTTCAAGGCTGGTTTCTCACAAATATTATAAACCAGTCCTTGGTCTCAGGTACGTTCCATCTATTAAAGCGTCCAGGAATTCCACAGAATAAGAAACAGAAACCACATTTTTGTGCATTCTTAATTCCTATTCTTCAATTTAATGTTTTATTAGTATATATTCTGACCTCCGATTTTTCACTTTTAGGAAAGGAAATTAGAGAGGGATTAGGGAAGATTCGTTAGTTTTTTGAAGCCATGTGAAGGTTTATTTCCCCTTTATATTACTTCTCATCACTGAAAAGTTCTCTGGAGATCGATTCACAAGCTACATGACAGATCTCTTCTTTTAAAGTTGCATAAGATTTAAATATGGCCAGTGAGGTCTAACTAGCCCAGCCCTTATTTTCATCTTAGAGTTGGTAACTTTAAAAACTAAAAAAGGGTTAACTTAAATCCCAATAAAATACGAAGAGAAAATGTACACACAATAAAATACATCCTTAATACAAAGTAAGGATATAATATACTCTGTAGTACGATATTTTCTTTATTAGCTGTAGCTTTTCCATTCAGAAACCAAAGCCTTGTCTTTTCGTTAAGCTGTGATTCCCTCCTCTTTCTCTAGCTTAGGGATAGTTTGAAAAAGACTTAATATGTACAAGGAGCCCCAGTGCGCAGTGGTTAGGCGCTCAGCTGCTAAGTGAAAGACTGGCGGCTCGAACCCATCAGAGGCTCTATGGGAAAAAGATGTGGCAGTCTGCTCTCGTAAAGATGACAGCCTTGGAAACCCTATGGGGGCAGTTCTACTTTGTCCTATAGGGTCACTATGTGTCAGAACTGACTCAACAGCAGTGATGGGTTATGAAATTAGATTTTCATTTATACATAATTTAAGTGTTTATAAAGCACTCAAAATAGCTTATGATGTTTGACTTTCGAAAATAAAATGACACTCTTAACACAACATAAACTTCTTCTGAAAAAATATTCTACGTACATGCATACCATCAAGACATAAATCTGTTTGGGAAATTTCCTATGCATGTGAAAAACTGTCACAATTATATCAATATTTCCAATGTTAAGATAACTGGGTGCCACCTAGCGTTCAACTTCTGCAACTACTAACTTTGCAAATTCAAAACTGCTATTAAAACCCAGGTTCTAAAAACTGCGTTTTGGAAATGTTTTTTCATTGATATGTCTATGGTGGCAACACAAGATCATGAAAAGAATTATATGATATCAAAATTAGTATAAAAATAGCCACATGCTACTTAAATAGGAAAAACAGACCTACTCATTTTGACTTCAAATGCAGACTTTTGTCTCTTTTTAAACTGTATCAAAATCTCAAGGGAGTATCTAGGTAACTGGAATATACAGAAAGACTCTGTACAGTCAACAGACTAATCAAAACTACAGTCAACAGACTAATCAAAACTAGGGCTTAATCCGAATCCATAATGAGTATAGGGCAAATGATTCATTCAAAATATCCATTTCCTGGAAGTGGTCAAAGTAGGAAAGGCAGTATTGCATATTTCTTCCCCCCACTTTAAAAAAAAAAAAAAAAAAGTAGATGTTGTGGTCTTTTATCCATAAGCTCCATTACATCAAAAGAATAAACTGGGTTTAACATTTCATTTAAGATTCAGCATTATCAGTTTTTAAAGAAACACAAATACCTTAACAATAAATCAGTCTGCTTTAACAATCCGCAGTCATGCTAATGAAATTTTAATCTTCTACAACGAGTCAGAGCCAAAATCCAAATTGTACGACAATCCTCAGAAAAAATGGAATGTAAAACGTTGGGTTCAATTTAGATCTGAAAGCGAAAAGAACATCAGGTCAAACAAAAAAATATTCTTATATTATGACAGTCTACTACATATAAGGAAGACCTTTGCCCTCTTAGGCAATCTGGGAAACAAATCTGTTGGAAGAGGAAATTCTGGACACCAGATTTTTCTCAATTCCAGACTACTGCGGTAAACCTTTATGATCTCCTCCTGAACATTCTATGTTATGTAGAATATTCTTAATAAAGTTTAGCACCTCCTTCCTTCCTGCCTTCCTTCTGTGCTAGTGATTAGATTTGTCTTTCGGGGCTGGGAGCAGACATGGGGGAGCATGATTTCTTCAAGAATGGGACAAGTGTGGTATGGCCAAATTCTCCTCCTCTGAGTCAATTTGGTTATAGTTGTTAAGGCCAGAACAGCTGTAAACCACCTGGAGCAATGTCTCAAGGAAGAGGTAGGGTTCTCAGGTGGTTAACACCACAAAATGTTCAAGGTAATCAAATTCTTTTCATTGTCTGTATCATCTCTTCCCCTGCCAGCCTACTGGGCCCAGGTCCTAGGAAGTGTTGGCTCAGATCCAGAAATGTGTGTCAAGACCCTCAGCCTATCCCCTCTGTATATGTGGCTCTGTGTTCATGCACATGAAAAGGTTAGCCTCCTTCATCTTCTAAAGAGGCTTTTGATTCCAATTCAGATGTCAAAATGTTTGGATCTGCCCTTAGCCAAACATTTTGCTGCATGTCAGGTTCTTGCCACAGAATATAACCGGTAACTCTATTGCCAAGTATTATTAACAGTTTAGTCATATGAATTTTCTGGCTCAGGGACTCCAAAGGGAGGTACATTAAGAAAATAACAGAACAATAATTACTTTTTCTCAATCCTTTTCATTTTCTATCTCCGGGTATGTTTTTAAATGTACATAACATTAGCTGAGTGGTATTTTATGTTTAAAAAATTCATAAATGCATATATACCTTGGTGGTATGTACTCAATTTTTAACTCATAGTGTGAGTACTCTAAATGGTTTGGAGATACATTAGAATATAAGATGGACTAATGGATGAATAAATATATGACAAATCAAGTACAGAAACATGTTAATTATAGAATCTCGGTGTGGGTATCACTTGTGATGGCCAACTTCAGGCTTTGCCAAGACCTGCCTTGGTATTTCTGAAAAGCTCTGGTAATTCTGTTGCACAATCCTGGTCGGGAATAACTGCTCTAGGTATTTTAACATTTCATCTTCAAATCAAAACACTCATCAATTTATTATTTCTCAATTTGTATACACAGGGGGCTTCTGAACTACATTTTTATTAAACGAGGTTTAAAAGAAAAGGGTAGATCAGATTTAAGAGTAACCTATCATACCACCCCAGTCATTCAATAAATTTATATTGCAAAAAAAAAAAAAACAAAAAAAAAAAAACAGTATATTGAATTTCATTCAAATACAGTTAACAGCAGAAGGGCAATGAGGCATTTACTCTTGTGGGCATCACTGCTTTATTATAAGGAAAACCAACACATTTTCCTCAAAATAAACACACCAACTCCAAATCAAGAGTTGGCCAATAGAGGCTACCCAACAAATAAAATAACATCACCCGTTGGCAACAGGCCTCCATTTTAATAAGGCTTTTAATGTTGTAATTCCAACGCTTATCAAGCTGGTTCAATCCTTTTTTTTTTTTTAAACATACTAATGATTCAATTAAGAAAAGGCAGGTTCCTTTGAGATCTTGTATTTCTCACAATTCTCTGCTAATGTCTTAATAGCTACCTCTTTAGACACTCTTAAGTAAACATGTTATGATGACAGAGTGCCTAGCACTCATATTGCCAAAGCAAATATTAATCTTTTCAGGAAATGTTTAAAAGAATTATAAGAATTGTCAGAGTATAAACAGTTTGGCCAGCTGGCTTCAAAATAACAGTGTATTTTAATTAAATCCAAGTCTCAAAATACACCCTTATTTAAGTGTTCAGTATTCTCAGATTAAAGGGAGCTAGGGGAGGAGCTGATTTTTCTGTGGAAAATTCACAAACAAAATCGGACAACTCAAGGTTTGTCTACTTACATCATCAATGTCCTCATCATCATCTCCAATGTCATCAAACTGGATTTCATCATCATCTCCAGGACCAAACGTATCCGTTTCATTGATTTTAGCTAAAGACACAATAACAAATATACTCACATACGATAACCAAGATATTATTAAAATGAGTAATCGTCTACTAAAAGTGGATCTGAGATCAAATGTTAAACTATAAAAGGGGATTCTTACAAGTCAAACTTTAATTCAACCAAAGTTTCATGACAAGAAAAATCCTCCCAACTTCTACCTAACAACCCTACTATGCAGAGCAATACTGTTTTTTTTGCTCAAAACGGTAGTTTTGGTAAGAAGGCTTGAATTACACTAATTCTGAAGCTACTACAACTTCTAAGTGCATGCTAACAACTCCTCCTCCTGAGCTAGGAACAGCTGGTTCACCAGTCATCAGACTCATCAAATCATCAGAAAGATTTGCTCAAATCATGCTTAGCCCTAAGCAGTAAAAGCGCACCAGGAAGTTCGAGGCCTAGTCCCAGATATATTAGCACGTCCTGGATTGGAAATGCCAAGTAAATAATCTCAGTAGGATTTTCATGCTTAAATCAAATTATGCTGTTTTCATGAAAAAATGCAACAGAGCCAAAAAACCAAAAAGCTCCCCAAAACTGCAAAGTAAAAAATGTAGACTTACAAAGTAGTATGTATATGTATAATAGTATGTATACTACATTTTCCCTTTGATGAGGTTATGAGGGACTTAATTTTTGTTTTATTCAAGCTTTTTGTATTAAGAATGCATTGCTTTTTATTTAAGGGGGGAAGAACATTAGTTTAAAAAAATCTTATGGGATACTAAAATACTAGGGGTAAAGATGGACTGAAAACTGGCTTTTTAAAAATAAAAATCAACAACGGCATCTAATTATTGTCTTTGCTTCATGTTTAACTCAGATGAACACTGAGAGTCTCTTGATAGAGGATTTTTTTTTTTAAACGTGTTAACAAAATTATTGCTTTGACTGGTATTATACTGAAGTCCAGGGCTTATAAAGCATAACTGTTCACCAAGTGTATTAGAAACAGATTCCAGTTACTTCTATTTTATACTGTCTAGTATCATAAAGTGTAGGCAGGTATACTTAAAACTAATCATGTAACCACACGCACAAACAAATATGCAAAAAAATACCAAAATCCTTCATCCAAACCCCAACAATTATATCACATGACAGGTTAATATAACAATGCAGACATTACCATGCTCTGGAAGCTCGCCATATGCCTTCAGACTTCTAGCTTCATCTGCATTGTATTTTAAAATTACATCAGCTTTGTTATCCTTAAAAAATAGATGAATAACTTTTAGAACTGATGGTGCCAAATTATTATCGGTTATTTCATAAATTATTTTCAAACTGAATAAGAAATTAAATCTCACCATTCTGCTAGAAACACTTTTCCTTTTCTAAATTTTAAAAGTTTCCTCCCACACTTTAAAAAACATCCTTGGGTTTAAACCAGGAGGAAGAAGCTTGCATGCATGACCGAATGATGAAGAGCTTAGGAAAGACTCTTACAGATTTCACTTTAAAAAGAGCAGAACCACGCAGACCCAATCTTTTAGATTATTTAGTACTACCCTTTGAATAGAAGTCTTTTGAAATACAAAAATTCCCTGGGAGCATATTTTGAAGGGCGATCAAACACTGCAATCCAAAAATTGACACTGGTATAATGATTCAAGGAAATTAATATACTTTTCCATCTATCAGTGGTTCTAAAGGTATGTATCAATCAGAACCTCCAGTTGCACTTTTATAGACTACAGATAGATCTGGGGTGAAGCCTAAGAACTTGTTATTTTAAAAAACTCTTTGGGTGTTTCTCATGCAAACATCCAACAGAGAACCAGGGCCTTAGAACGTCCATACTTCCCCATGTGAAAAGAATCTGACTCAGTTAAGGAGGAAAAAGGGGTGTAAGTTGATTGTTCAAAATGAATTTAATGAGCAAAAGCAGGCCCAAAGAAAGGCAATTAAAACCATCACAGTCATGCAAGGGCAGTGTGATTTCAGACCAAACCCAAAACCAAAATCAACCCCACTGTCATCAAGTCGATTCTGACTCATAGCGACCTTACAGGAAAGAGCAGAACTGCCCCATAGGGTTTCCAAGGAATGGCTGGAGGATTTGCACTGCTGACCTTTTGGTTAGCAGCTAAGTGCTTTAACCACTGCACCACAGGTCTCCTGTGATTCAGACCAGCACTTCTGAAACTGCAGTGTGTATGAAAAGTCCATGGGCATTGTGTTAAAACACACATGGAGATTTAAGAGGCCTGGGGTGGGGCCCAAGAATATGCACTTCTAACAAGTTCCCAGGGGATAGTGATGCCACGGATCTCTGGACCACCCTTCAAGTAGCAGGAGCACAGAAGGATCACAGGAGATGAAGAATCAGAAGTGTTGGGCTTGGCTGTCACTTTATAGTAGGGATGTTACTTCTTTCAGAGCCTTATCTGTCAAACAGGGAGTTAATAACTTTCCCTTCTCCTGAGGTTATTGTTATGATCAAAGAAGAAAATGGACATGAAAATGGCGTGAATTCAAAAGTTATATGGTTATGACTTATGTTCTAAACACTAATGGTTCATCAAATTCAAGCAAGTAAACAAAAAAAATTGAAACGCGATTTTTACCTGATAGTCTCGGAGACCAACCAATATGATGTCTGAGGTATTTATCCAGACCTAGAAAGGAAAATTCACTGCACATTATTCTTAAAATAAAAGGATCAAGAGCAACGCTGAATCAGTCTTCCCATAAAATATACATACTATTCACTCACCTTTGGAGGAAATATCTATTTAGAATTAGGAGAAAATAACTATAGTAAGCAGCTGAGCCTGTTTTAAATTTTCTATAATCTGGAGCCCTGGTGGCAAATTGGTTAAGAGCTCGGCTGCTAACCAAAAGGTTGGCAGTTTGAATCCACCGGTCGCTCCTTGGAAAGCCTATGGGGCAGTTCTACCCTGTCCTGTAGGGTCGCTATGAGTCGGAATTGACTCGACAGCAATGGGTTTGGTTTTTTTGTTTTTTGGGATGTTAAAAATATAACAATCTTACTTAAACTACCTGGCAGTTTAATAATTCCAGAGTAACGATTATTAGTTTAGAAATTAAGAGATTTTTAATCATGAACCACCCCGACATGGGGAGTTATCCCTCCCTCCTTCAGTCTATCTGCCTGCCCACCCGCCCACATATACACAGCTTCCCAAAACCTCTTTAGTTTGGTAAGGATTACCAAACCAAATCTCTAGTTAGGATTAACAAGCCAAAATGTTTAAAAATCATAAAATCGAGTTGGAAAGGACTTTCAACCAACCTGATCAGTCTACCTGAACACCTACCTTGATGGTGAATTAATAATTACTCTCCAAGGCAGCCTATTCATTATCACACTCAGGAAGTTTAACGTGAATAAACACTTATCTAATTTAGTTCACATTCAAATTCTGTTAACACCCTTTACTACTGTTCCCACCACCCCACTCCCAAACCAGATCCAATCAGAGCTTGACTGCTAACCAAAAGGTTGGCAGTTCAAACCCACCAGCCGCTCCCTGGGAGAAAGATGTGGCAGTCTGTTTCCGTAAAGTTTTCCAGCCTTGGAAACCCTATGGGGCAGTTCTACTCTGTCCTACAGGGTCACTATGAGTCGGAATCGACTCAATGGCAACAGGTTTATCAGGTCTCATCAGTCTCCTTTAAACTGCGGCAGTTCCCAGCGTTTTTTTTTCCTTCTTTCTCAACCCTAACATTTGATTAAGAGGTAGGCCATCTGTTTCGCAGAATGCCCTCAATTTGGATTTGTCGACTGTTTCCCCATGATCAGATTCAGGTTACACAATCTTCGCAGGAATACAACATAGATAATGCAAATGCTTTTTTATATAATAGAATGTGCATAAAATTATCATCAAAGATCTTGCTGTTTGACTCATCATAGGAAAATCTTATTCCACTGAAATCTCTGGGAATTTACCTGTCATGGATTGAATTGTGTCCCCCAAAAATACCTGTTAACTTGGCTAGGCCATGATTCCCAGTATTGTGTGACTGTCCACCATTTTGTCATCTGATGGGATTTTCCTGTGTCTTGTAAACCCTCTCTCTATGATGTGGACGAGGTGGGATTAGTGGCAATTATGTTAACGAGGCAGGACTCAATCTACAAGATTAGATTGTCTTATGCCAATCTCCTTTGAGATATAAAAGAGAGAAAGGAGCAGAGAGACACGGGGACCTAATACCACCAAGAAACAAGACCCAGGAGACTATTGTGTTTTTTGGACCCGGGCTCCCTGCGCTAAGAAAATCCTTGACCAGGGGAAGAGAGATGACAAGGACCTTTCCCCAGAGCTGACAGAGAAAGCCTTCCCCTGGTGCTGGTGCCCTGAATTCAGAATTCTAGCCTCCTAGACTGTGAGAGAATAAACTTCTGTTTATTAAAGCCATCCACTTGTGGTATTTCTGTTGTAGCAGCACTAGATAACCAAGACATTACCCTTGGCCCATAAAAACTGAATATAGAGACAATATTTCCCCGACCAATTTTATATTAAAGTAAAACAAATCTCCATACCTACCTTTTTTCTCAACTTTCCTCTGATATGACATAACCTCTTTACACCATCAAAACACATTGCTTCTAATCGTCCATTTCCCAACATTTTGATTACCTGTGCATACTCTGGGGGGAGGGAAAGAAGAAGAGGGTAAGAGATATTGTTCAACTTTTGATAAAAGCAAATTAAAATGACAAGTCCACACAAAATTGACAAGTGAGAACACACTGCTGTACTGGTTAGGAATAAACACATGCAGTAAAAGTATAATAAAAAATCAGTAAAAGCATAAATAAATATAAATTCAGGAGAGGGATTGCTTTAGGGACAAAAAGGAAGAAGAGAAATAATCTGGGAGAGATACAAAGCTGGTAATGTTTCATTTCTTACTGAGTACTAGGGAACAGGCATTTGTTACCCTTTATATTTTATTGTGAGGAATCCTGGTGGCTCAGTGGTCAAAGCGATTGACTGCTAACTGAAAGGTTTGAAACCACCAGTGGATCTGCAGAAGAAAGATGTGGCAGTCTGCTTCCGTAAAGATTTACAGCGTTGAAAACCCTATGGGGTTGCCATGTGTCAGAATCATCTTGATGGCAGTGGGGTTTTTTTTGGTTTGTATATCTTACTGTACATCTCATATATTTCATAATAAATTTATTAAAACATAACGATGTGTAAATTGGTTTAGCCTATTGATGATGAACTGTTTTTACTGCTAAATTAGATCAAACTGTGTGTCTTTTTTTTTTTTTTAAGGACATTACTTGAACAGCAAAAAAGGGTAAATATTCTACCCTGAGATCCCTTTCAAGGTGACACACATTCTAATTTTACCCAGGGAAACCAGAGAAGTCTTTGTTGCCTGTCAATTTCTAAAGCCTTTCCCAGCTATGTGTATCTATGCCAACCCTCTCATTTAATAGAGTAAACAGAAGCCTACAGAGGCCAAGTGATTTGTCTAAGGTCACAAGCTAGTTCAGGGCAGAGCAAGAACCAACACTTTGTAATGCCATTTCCACAAGCTGTCTCTGCTATTATAAATGTTTTAATTATCTACTCATTTTGGGCAAGTAGATTGACTACTGTCTTCACAACCGTATGCTCTACTTTCGGATCTCAAGGTGGCTTGTCAATCTCACACGTTCAAATCCGAGTCCCAGTTTGGCTCTCCTTTCCCTCAGAACCTTAAGAGGCAAATCTCATACAATTTTAATACACTTGGCAAATAAAAGTAGCTTAAACATTAATAATGCCTCTGTTAAGTTAGAATATTTTAGTGATTATTCTAAAGTTCTCGTAAAATCAGAAACATGTTCCCATGTATAATGCCAAACTTTTAGTCAAAACCTTTCTCAAAGGTTACCCAGGAAGCCACCTAATTTAACTGCCATTTGAAAAGTTCTCTGAGAAGGAGATTATGCCTTTAGCTTGCACATGGGCCTGTTTCTTCTGCCACTAAAGACATGAGGCGGGGCATCACTTCAGAGTCTTTAGATTACAGAAGTTGTATGTATGCTAAATCTGTAAATATACTGAGGCATAAATTGGAAAGGCTCAAGTGAGAGGTTGACATGTAGAAGTGAGTTCCTCAGACTACAGTGACTGAGCCTAACGTACCACCTTGTGCCTCAAAAGTAGCTGGTCAACACAGGAGGCAGTCTCTCTTCCAAACTGGGGAAAATATATGAAAAAGAAGAAAAGTGACTGTCCAAATACAGTCAACTGCTAACAGGCAAGAATGACTAAGGCTCAGAAACAGGAGGTTTTTTAGCCAGAAAACATTTTCTTTTTAGTGGCTTATATGCAGAGTATAAACAAATTCACCAAAAATTCTATTCAAAAAATAAAGTATTTTTTTGTTAAGAAGTGCTGGAAATTATTGAGACAATTGAAGAAATTTGAATATGGACTATATACTAGATATTATTATGTTAGTGTTAAACTACCTGAGCATGATAATTCTATTGTAGAGCAGAATTATAATGCTACAATTCTACTGTAGAATATACTTGTTTTTAGAAGCTACATAATGAAATAATAAGGGAAAAGTATCATGGTGTCTGCAATCAACTTTCAAATGGTTTAGAAAAAAACATTACTAATAAAGTAGATGAAGGGCTTAAGGGAGTTCATTGTACTAATATTGCAACTTTTCTGTAGGTTTGAAATTGTTCAAAATAAAAACATGGGGAAAAGGGAAAGTGCTCCAGTCAGAATTAATTTTACGAGCTTCATGTACCTTGGTCTAGCACATACAAAATCTTGATTCAGTCAATTGTTCTCTTCTGGTTTATCATATTTTATGCAGTAATATACTAACAGCAGTGGAGAACTGAGGCGCCTACAAAGGCTTCACATCCAAGGTCTACTAAACACACTGTGTAGGACCACCTACTACAGGTAGTCCCCGACAAGTTTATGTATTCAATTTACGACGAACCGCTCTTACGACTGGCTGGTTTTTGGTACACCTTATTGTTAGTAATACGTACTACATACAATGTTGCAGCATGCAATTTGCTGATGTTATCATTCTCAGGTGTTTACTCACAGATGTTCAACGTTATGATTTATAAAGATACGGGTAATAAAAGGCAATAATATTGAAAAGTTAAAAAAAAAAAAGAGGTATTCAGCTTATGTCAGAACCGACTTAACGATGAAGTCGTCAGTACAGAATCCTGTCCTAAGTCGGGGACTACCTGTATTAAAAAAAGGCCCACTAAATCATGGAATTGCCAACCATGGCTCCAAGGTTTAATCCTCTCTGAACTCTACTATTCATTCTTAGTTTGAACCTGAGTGTCTGCAAAACAAGGAAATGCCTATGTTTACAGAAATGCCACCAGCCTTCAACACAGACTGAGTATATCAAGAAATGATTATCAAAAGGCTTGGAGAAGTGTAGAGGATGAGAAATGGAGAAGAGCAAACAGGGACATGAGAATTATTGCTCAGGATTATGTCAGAGATTGAAATTCTGTATTTAAAAAAGAAATGTTACTAGAAGAAGCCTAACTTCTGAAATGCTTACCTTGCCCATCCTCTTTGAACACTAGCTCTCTTTTTTCAGATTCATTCTCATTCTTACCTCTGCGTCTGTTTTTACCTCCTTTACCTAATGATTTAAAAAAAAAAAAAGTACAAGAAAGATATTAATCATCTGTAAACCAGTATGGAGAAACAAACTAAATTAAGGCTTACAAAGCTTTAAAAAAAGTAACTCAAGAAAATTCAATCATAATAAACATATACATATTACCATCCCTCTACCCTTCTTAGAAGGAGCCCTGGTGGTGCAGTGGTTAAAGCACTTAGCTGCTAACAGAAAGGTCAGCGGTTCGAATCCACCAGCTGTTTGCGGGAGAAAGATATGGCAGTCTGCTTCTGTAAAGATTACAGCCTTGAAAACCCTATGGCACAGTTCTACTCTGTCCTACCGAGTCGTATGAGTCAATCGACTCAACCGCAGTGGGCTTTTGGACCCTTCTTAGAAACTCCTTTTGGGATTTTTTCCTGGCATAAAGTACAAACCAAAAAAAAGCACACATTATTTAAAAGTTATAGAAAAACATTTCACTTTAGCATCCATCCTTTCCAAATAAAAATGGAATCCCACACATATTCTTCTGAACTGAAATCTTGTGTGCCTTCTGAAGCCAGGCCTTATGAAAGGAACCTGATCTAAGTTTCCAAAAGGAAGTGAGAGAAGAGTGGTTGGATCAAGAACTGTGGTTTTTCACACTTTCAGTAGCAGAGCACCATGAATATTGAAAGTCTCAATTTCATGGCACAAACAAGGAATAGTTGTGCTTACCAAAAGCATGTAATATGTATGACATGTAAAATTACACTCATGAGTAAGCACATTCCTGTACATATCTGTCCATGACCCCAACTTAGTCACCTGCTTCTGGATTTTTCTCTTGGTATTTGCTACTGTTCATTCATTTTGCCATCTGTAATTTTTACTATCAGGCTAAGTGGTAAGTGCCAAAGGTCTAAGAAAATTTTATTTCAGAAACTTAAATTTAGACATTATTTTTTGCAAATCAGAGAGTGATATGCACTTTAGCAGCTTTGTCTCTCTTAGGTAATACCAGTTTCAAGAACCACTGGCAGAGAATTCTTAACAGTGCCAGCTGAGTGAGACTAAGGGAAGATGGGATGGGATGGATTTGGCCAAAAAAGCCAATTCAGGGGGAAATGCCATTTACTGTTAACTTCGGGTAGCAGGAATCAGAAGCAGGGAAGGTAAGGTAGGGTATAAGCATTTTTCATTATAATATGTAAGTCTTGTATTACATGACTCTTTAAACTATGTACACATAGTCTGATACAAAAAGATTGCAATTTTATAAATGTGGGCAAGGGTACCTGAGACTAGCTATCTCGAAGCTGATGGGAAGCAGTAAAATTCAGAGGGAAAAACACAGGCTTTGGAATCAAATTCAAATCCTGGCTTCACCTCTATGGAAGGCTTGTTACTTAACCTAACTCTTATATAAAAATGGAAATAATTACAATTATCACCTTCCTTATAGATAATAGTGAAGATTATACAAGTAACAAATGTTTGGTGCCTACTACAGCACCTGTCACAATCTATCAATAAATGATGGCTAACATTAACAACAAACTGGTACCACCTTTCTAGAAAAACAATTCAACAATATTTATCAAGAGCCTGAAAAACATGCAGATTCTTTTTCCTAATAATCTTATTTCTAGCAATATATATGGACATGTAAGAGAAAAATCATTGAAATATAGTAAATATTCAAGTCAACCTAGCAAATGTTTGAATGCCTAACTTCTGAAATGCTTACCTTGCCCATCCTCTTTGAACACTAGCTCTCTTTTTTCAGATTCACTTTGCTAGATGCTGGAGAGTGTCGGGTGAGGCAGTCTGCTAGGGGCCCCTAGCATCCCTGCACATTCTTGCCACATGTGCCAGATTTCAAAGCTTATCGTCTCCTGAGCAGTTTCTATAGACAGTCACACAGGCAAGTAAGTAGGTCAAACTGACCACCACCATGGGGGTGGGGACATGTCTGACTGGTGTTTGCTGCTAGCTCAAGAACTGCTGGGCCCCTGGCCCTGAGTTCCTCTCCTGTAATATAACCCACTACTGTGACTGTGTAATAAAGTCCTTTGTCTCTGACCCAAGAGTTTTATATCTTCTGCCAGTATCCATGAAACAGTAACAGGCTAACCTCTTGACAGTTCTGGCGATGAGGATGGGATGCTGACAGAGACATGGCTTTCTAAAAGGAGGAGGATGAGGCCCAGGGGGTTGGGTTTGTGAACATGAAAACCCACCCTGGCATCCAGTAGCAAATACTCTGACCCAAGTTGTGGGAGAGGGAGAGAAGTAAGGGTCCCCTCACTGTTCTTTAATGTTCAGAGGCCAAGTGGAGAGAAGTAGAATTGAAACAAGCTGCCCAAATGGTGCCTTGGTTGTTGCTGACTCTCCTCCAGGTGGACCAAAAAGAGACGTTATCTTGACAACAGGGC